TTGCTGGGTCAAATGGTATCTCTATTTGTAACTTTTTGAGAAAGCACCACACCACTTTCCACAGTGGTTGCACCATTTTACACTCCCACCAACAGTGAATAAGGGTTCCAATTCCTCCACAATCTTGCCAGAATTTGTTGCTTGCTGTTCTGTTAAAGTTTGCTATTCTGACTGGGATGAGATGATATCTCATAGTTGTTTTGATTTGCATCTGTCTTAGAGCTAGGGATTTTGAGCATTTCTTCATGTGCTTGTTAGGCATCTGAATGTCTTCTTTGGTGAAGTGTCTGTTCATATCCTGTGTCCAGTTTTCTATTGGATTACTTAGCTTTATCTTCTTGTGGTGCAGCAATGTTTTGATGATATAAATGAATTGATTTTAAGTATGTCCATCTGAATTTATCCAAAAACAGTGTTTCCTTTACGTGACCAACACATCCACTTTGGAAAGCAAAATAAGCTCCAAATCTTCTACATTTCTTAAATCAATCTGTGTTTCCACTGTTTACAATGGAAGAGTGTATTATTTTATTATTGGCCTTTAGATACAATTTGATTTTTCCTTAATAGCAGAAAGTTAGGAGACCCTGATGACACAAGGCTGCTAAGTAAAAGATTGGTGGTCGCACCCGTCCAGCTACTCTGATGAAGGAGAACCTAGCAGTACGCTACCATAAAGATGAAAGCTGAAAAAGCCTCGTGGCTGTCAAGTCAGAACTGACATATGGGTAGCTGACCCTCCACTGAGATTCTGAGGCTGTAAATTACAAGAGAGGAGGCTGCCCGTCTTTCTTAGAACCACGGTGGATTGACCCCCACACACCCCAGCAGGGCATAGTCTTAAAGTTAGCACTTTGACTCTTAAAGGACTAGGCCACCAGAACTCCAAGATACAACTGCCAAGAAAACTTTGGGGAGTAGTTTTAGCACATGGGGCTATCATGACTCGGAATCCACCTCATAGTGCTTAACAACAACAATCAGATGAAATTTAATAAAAATCAAAAGGTTTTAAAAATGTCTGGTTTTTTCTTATATATCATTTCCTGCCCCCCCATGAAGATGATAGATTTATAGTTTACTATAGTGTGCTCTGTCAAAATATGGATGATGCTCACAGTCTTAGCCCCACCACCATGCACAGACCACACGGTACCCACTCTGGCTGTGGTCTGTGAGCACATCCTACCCACATATGGAAACATCAGTTCTGCAAAGGTGTAAGACACCCACTTTAGGAGTCAAACGCCCCTCATATCAAAAGTTTCCATCAGGGTTTTTTTTCCACTAAAGAAGATATCAAACTTTGTTTCTGAAGTACCTTAAGTTTGGTTTTGTGCACTTTTAGGGACCTGTCTCCAAAGTGTGCATTGCTCAATTTGTAAATTCATTTTTATCCAGGAAAATGCACTGCTCTATCTACTAAAACTAGTTACTTGCATATCTGAATTAACTCTAAAGAGGGTTGCTATAATTTGGTCTCTGTTTTCTCTCTTTGTCAACTGTCATTTAGGGGAGAGATGACTCACCTCTAAGTTCCTGTGTTTTTCAGTTATACTGCTTACGCTCAAAGGTACTACTGATAAAGATATTGCACAACCTAGGTGGCAAAAGCAGCCTCTGCCAGGTGGCTAGAAGCAGGAGGTTTATTAGAGGCAATGGAGAATTGTGTTTTCTGTCATGTTCTCAACACGAGTCTGTGGGATGTAACCAGTTTCTCTTCTGTGAACAGACAATGAACAATAGAGAATTAATAGCTTCTGCCCTAAGCTGAGAGAGGAAACCACTTTAGAATTTATAGCCTTCTGGTTTGGAAGAACAACTGTGCTACAGATAGGGTACTGGTAAAACTCCCCACACTTGACTTTACAGGCCTCCTGCTTTATTAGGACTGTACCCTGGGTAACTATTTTTTTTCTCTCTCTTATTCTTGCCAGAAAACCAGGTCAACAGGACTCTGACGTCACTGGTTGCTGCTCAGACTCCCAAAACATCAGACAGCTTCCCCCACAGAAACCAAAACAAAGCCAGCTGCCATTGGATTGATTCTGATTCGTGGGGACCCGTGGATGTAGAGCTACACTTCAGTGGGGTTTCAAGTCTGGCATGTTTCAGAAGGAAATCACCATGACTTTCCTCCAAGGTAGCTCTAGTTCCAACTGCTCATTTTTTGATTAGCAAACAATGCTTAACTAATTGCACCACCAATGACTTCTCCCAAAGCTCCAGTCTTGGCTGTTCGAAGTAGGTGAGGGGAACTCAAATGTTACCTCAGATTCTATTGCCCCCCCCCTCCCCCGTAAGATGTACTGTGTCCTCAATGGAATACTATGCAGCACTCAGGAGCAATGATTTTGAAAAATACTGCATAACTTGGGAGAGGTTGAAGAGCATTATGTTGCAGGAACTGATTCAGTCTAAGGACAAATACTGTATAAGACCATTATTTTCAAAATAGAAGGATAACTAGTAAAACATGTACAGGAATTCAAGGAGGGGAGGAGGGAGCAGACGGGTGAGGATAGGTACCAGACTGCATAGTTTGGTGGGTGGAGGGAGCAGGGGAAGCAAATGGGAAGGATCCAGCGGAAAAGACAAGTTAATGACGGGCAAGGTCTAATGGGAATTGATTTTATAAAACTTAATGCATGGGAATGATTGTATGAAACACGATGTGAATGAAGAATGGTGTGAAACACAATGCATATAAACTTTGTAAGAAAGCTAAAAAAATCATGTAAAATAGAGTGTATTTGAATGTATGAAACATAATATAAATGAAACATTGTATGAAACAATGTATATGAATGAAACATAATGGAAAGGAATGTTTTATGAAAACCAATAAAAAATATTTTTTTCTAAAAAATGTGTACTTTGTCCTTTCTCACTCCCATGAGGAATGTTTTCATGTGTTTTGATAAGGTTTCTTGTTGTTGTTGATTGCTTTTGAGTTGAGCACAACTCAGAGACCCTATGAGGCCTGAAGCCCCTCTACAACTCTCGACATTTATCATAGTTCATAGAGTTTCCAGAAGCATGTTGTTTAGGAAGTGGATGCCACTCTTGCTTCCAAATCTGCCATAGTGTGATATTGTTATGTGCCATTCAGTCGCCTGCGATGTATAGTGAACCTATGTACAGCAGCTCTGAAATGTTTAAAAATAAACAAAGACCCAAAACACACACAAAAACAAAACAAACTTCCACAAACATTATCCTCAACTTTTACTGTGTTAACACACTATTTAATCAAAATAGTCAAGAAAAAGTCAAATTATCAAAAATATATCTGTTTAAATGGAAATATATACCATTAACAAATATTTTCCAAACATTTACATAATCATGTCATATATCAAAATGTGAAAAAAATCATTCTTTAAGGAAGAGAATGAGGAGTTTCTGTTGCAGTGTTGCAATTTCTCCAGAGAAGTTTGTCCTTTTTTCTCAGAATATTTCTAAAATTCAAACATGCAGGTGATCTTGTTTTACCTGTCCTCCCTAACTTTCATACATTTCATCTATTGCTTTGAATGTTTTAAATATTATCTAAAAACTCACTGCCCCATAAGGGCATGTCTAACTTTTATGTTGCTGTTGTCAAGTTTATCTTCTCTAGATAGTTCTTAAAAAAGCATAATGGTCAAGGCAGACATTCTTTATTAGGCAAGCTAAGCTAGTGAGTGGGGAGTTAACGCTGACAGCCCATAGGTAGTTGATTTGAATTCACTAGTTTCCCTTTAGGAGAAAGATATGCAGTCTTCTTCTGTAAGAGTTATAACCTCTGAAAACCCACTGGAGTTGGTTCCAACTTGACAGAAATGAGTTTGAAGCTTTTGATTGATTTAATAGTTCAGTGGCTTTTTTGTTTTGTTTTTGTTCAAAGTTTAAAGATTATCTCAGGGTAGCAGTTTCAGGGATAGATCCAGCCTCCATGATTCCAGAAAGTCTGAAGTCCATGAGAATTTTAAGTGTTGTTCTACATTGTTCCCCATTTGATAAAGATTCCTCTGTTGATTGAAATGTTCAGTAATGAGAGCTAAGCTCCATCCAGTTTGTCTGGTCTTCTGGCAAACAGGGCAGCTGTTTATAAAGGAAATTAGCCACCCATTCTAAATCTTCCTCTCATTCCAGGCTCTTCCCCGGTTGTTCTAAGGGAACTGTTGTGCCTTGAATGGTCACTTGCAAGCTCATAACCCTCTAGGAACTATACAATAAGCTAGGAGGAACAACTCAGATTAAGAGAATGTTGGTTGTACAGCTTAAAGAATGCCATTAAGGTCATCGAATGAAATGTGTAGAAGCTGTTGAAGTGGTGTATATTGTGCTTTGTGTGTTCTCAACAACAACTACTAAATAAATAAAACTATAGACAAATATACAAATTCATAAGAATAAGAAATGGAAGATCTGACTTAGAGAAGAATGGCAGAAAGGCAGAAAGTGAGAGGATGAAGGGGTCACAATGAACACAAAGACCTTGGAACCCTTTAAAACACCCTTCCATGAGGTCTGGGATTTTCCCCCTTGACTCCAGAGTAGGACACTTTTACCCTTCTCCTCTGACAGTGAGAAGGTCATTGTGATAAATGATGGAGCCAATGGAAATTCTGCTGAGGATCTTTGTTTTAAGGCTGATTGTCTCATGTTCTATTAGCATAAAGAAAGAATTGAAATGGTGTTGTTAGGTGACTGTTGAGTCTACCTGAAACTTAAAATCTATTTATCTTTGAGTTATCCAAAAGAAAATTAACAAATAAACATTAACTAGTCTAAGTATGTTAGGAAACCTCTAGATAATATCTTTGGTGGCTCTGGTTCATCTTTCTGCTCTGTTTTAAGGGGTACTTTTTAAAGGACAACCCCTTAACAAAGGTATTTGTGGGTGTTATCTAGGATGGTGCTTTACGTTTTAAAGGAAGATAGTAGAGGAATCACTTGTATTTCTCCTTTGCTTCTTTTTCAAGAGTATCCCAACATCTCTTTGGATTTCAGTTTCACAGTTCACAATTTCCTTCTTCTTCTTCTGGAAACCGGCAGCTACTGGCATCTTCCTCCTGGGCTGTTCGTATTGGCTGGGCAAATGCTAAAAGAAAAATTAATTTGAAAGTTATTTAGCATTTATCTGTTTCAACCACTTAACTATTTGTATCAACAAATCTTTGCCCCAACCCCTCTCTCTCACTGTTGCCCTCAAGTCGGAACCAACTCATAGCTGACCTTCCAGTGGGTTTTCAGAGACTTGTAAGTCACACAGGAGAAAACTATCCCTCCTTCTCCTTCAGAGTACGTGGTGGATTTGAACTATCTGCCTTTCATTTGGCAGAGCAACTACTTACCCACCAGATCTCCCTTCCACAAATCAGTCTCAGAAAATCACCAAGTAGCATTCTCAAGTTTGATTTTACTAATAAGCCATCAATAATGCAGACAAGTTGGAAGCAGGAGTGGCATCTGCTTCCTAAACAACATGCCTCTGGAAACTCTATGAACTTTGATAAATGTTGATAGTTGTTGAGTGGCTTCAGGCCTTTTGTTTATAGGGTTGCTATGAGTTGTGTTTGACTCTATGGCAATCAACAACAACAACAATAACAACAACAATGCAGACGAAAACAAGTATGAGTTTTCCCTCAAGCTTATATAATTTAAGATTTATTTCCTTTTACCAATATTTCATACTGATTTTTTTAAGGACTGCTATCCTTATTTTTCTAAAAGAGGCCCCGAAAATATTGTGAGCATGAATTACTGTGATATAAAATCAAGTAGCAAACATGACTGCAGGTTCAGTTCAGCAGCACCTATTTTTAGTCTTCAGAGTTAATTAGAATAGATATTAGATAGTTTGTTTTGAATGAATTGCTATACAACACAATTTTCAAGATAGCCTTGCTACCTCCGTCCATTAGTAAGTAAAGAGTTGATATATGAAGACATGTAGCAACTGACAGGTTCTCTTTCACTTGTTACTGAAAGGCCTCCTGGGAGCTGGGCAACATTCAACACTGACCACACCTTCTGAGAGATATTCCAATCTGCCTGGTGTAAAAAAGACTATGGCCAATCCAAAAAGAGCACGACCACCAACCACATCTTGCTTGACTGAGCAGCTCCATATTTGGGAACTAACAAAGGGCACCCAATCCACACCCTCCACAGAGAACTGACCACCAGGATGACCACCTTACTTCCAACCCCTACCTATAAAGTTTGGTCTGTAATTTCCTTTTTTTGCAACTTTGTTGCCTTACCCTGCCTCTCTTTGGCCTCAGACAGTAAATTTGCCCGAGATCCACTAATAAACTCTTTTGTTTCACTTCACCTGGTTCTCTGTGCCTTTTTACCTTAGAGTTACTGCTAGAATTTTTTAATCCTAAGCAGATATTTTCTTATAGTTTGACAATGCATACAACCGTACCCCAACTTCACATACTTAGTTCCATAAAAACTAAAAAACTTCAAACTCATTTGCTGTTGAGTTGGAACTCGACATGTCATAGCTGATCCTCCAACAGGTTTTCAGAGGCTGCAAACTGCATGGGAGGAGACTGTCCATCTTTCTCCTGAAAAATAGCTGGTGGATTCGAACCTCTTGCCTTTTGGTTTAGAGCAAACTCTTTATACCCTAGACCACCCAAATGGCACTCTCTTGCCAGAACTTGTGAAAATCTGGCAGAGACTTTCAGAAACATCCATGAAATATTGGGGTTTTTTTCTTTTGAAATAACATCAACATAAAAAAGATAAAATTTCTGAAAGATGGAGTAAGCCACCAGAGTTCCCTCTAAATAGAGCTAAAAACTATGAACGTTGTAAACAGAACATTAGATATCAAACAAGAATAAGACCATTTTGGAAGAAAATGAGAAGGCAGAATATCTGCAGGCCTCAGGATCCAAGAAACGACTTAGTAATGATTTCCATGAATTTTCTTTCTGTTTTGTATATCTAAGAGTGGAACTGTATGTAGAAAACAATGACTTAGTGTTGCCAATAGGCAATTACAAGAAGAGTCCCCAGAAAAGCCTGCTGTCTCTAGTACAGAAAGACACAGCAGAGAAAAACAGAAAACTTGTAGACAATAATTACTCTACAAAAGAACAAACATCTGTGTGAGAGGAAGTGCAACCAACATGCTTCGTAGAGGCAAGGATGGTGAAGCTTCATCTCACTTACTTTCGACATATTATCAGGAGGAATTAGTTCTTGGGGAAAACACACACACACACACACACACACACACACACACACACACATCGTACTGGGAAAGGAAGTCAGTGAAAGAGAGGACAACACTCTTGAGATGGACCACAAAGGACAATAACAGTGGGCTGGAGCTTATCAGAGATGGTAAGGATGGCGCAAGGTTCAGAGCTTTGTTCATAAGATTCATAGCTGGCCCTCCAGTGGGTTTTCAGAGGCAGTTTATCATGGTAGATGGAGAAATGTTTGAAGTTATCAATGATTTAATTTTACTTGGATCCACAATCAACATCTGGTTAACAGCAGTTAAGAAATCAAAAGACATGTTGCATTGGAAAAATCTGCTGTCAAGGACCTCTCCAAAATGTTAAAGAACAATGTTGTTAGTTTAAAGACTAAAGGGCACCTGATCCAAGCCATTATCTTTTCAATTACTTGTTATGCATCTGAAGGTTGGATAATGAATAAGGATAACAGAAGAATTGATGGCTTTGAGTTGTGGTGTTGGAGAAGAGTACTGAATATCTCATGGATTGCCAAAAACACAAGTCTCTCTTGAAAAAGTGCAAAACAGTATGCTTCTTAGAGGTAAGGATGTTAAAACTTCTTACATACTTTGGACAAATTATCAGGAGTTAGTTCTTGGGAAAGGACATAATTCTGAGCAAGGTTGATGGGACAGAGAAAGAGAGGAAGATTCTCAACAAAATGAATTGACACATGTTTGTAACAGTAGGCTTTAACATATCAGATACGGGAGCATGGTGAAGATTGGAGAATGTTCAGATGTGTTGTCTCTGTGGGCTGTAGTCGACTCGATGGCACCTAACAACAGTATTCATTTACTCATTGTTGTCAAGTCAGAATTAACTCATAGCTGAACCTCCAGTAGGTTTACAGAGGTAAATTACATAGGAGGAGACTGCTTGTCTTTCTTGCATGGAGCAGCGGATGGATTTGATCTGCCTGCCTTTGTACTGGCAGCACAACTTCATACTCTTTAGGCCACCAGAGCAGAGCTCAAAGAAGGTAAATATCTGCTGAAGAAAGTGGTTAAAATCCTAATATGTGCTAATCCCTGCTTTCAAATGGATAAAAGAGATACATAGATGTCCTGCTCTTCTTTCTACTACATTATTGTCACTTCAGAAATGTTGTTATGTGCCGTTGATCACTTGCAACTCACAGCAATCCTATGTACAACAGCTCTAAACCCTGCCAACCTCGTTGTCTCTGGATCATCCAGTCCCATTACCCCAGTGACTGAGTCAATTCATTCCATCCAGGGCCTTCCTCTCTTATGCTGTCCCTTGACCCTCCCAAGCATGTTGCCCCTCTCCAAGGACTGGTCCCTTCTTTCAACATGCCCAAAGTATGCCAGATGAAGCTTCAAAATTCTTACTTCAAAGGATCATCCTGATTTCACCCTCTCCAGGATGAACTTGTTTGTTCTAGCAGTCCATGGTATATTCAAAACTCTTCTCCAGCACCACAACTCAGAGGCATCAATTCTTCTTCTGTAATTCTTAGTCATTGTCCAGTTCTCTGAAGCATAGCAAATAATTGCAAAGAACATGTCCTGAATCAGGCACAGCTTAGTCTCTAGACTGAAATAATTGCTCTTCAGAAATCTAAAGAGGTCCTTGACAGAAGGTTTTGCCAATGCACTTTGTTTTTTGATTTCTTGGCTGCTGGTACAAAAGTGTTGATATGTTTATAGACAACTCTGGGGTTTATTCACTTGTCTTTTTTTATGTACTCACCTTTAGCACACATGAAATAAACTTTCAAAAGTTTGTAAATCTAAAAGCACTTTACAAACAACTTTGTTATAGTTTAGGGTAGAGCTGGGATCAGTAGGCCTTTGAATCAGAGATGAAATGTTTGAATTAGATAAGAAATGGAGAGGCCTAAATTAGATTAGAAGGTTAGACTTTAGAAAGAGAATGAAAGAATGAGCTACAATGCACACCCATGTTTATCGAGGCTTTGTTCACAATAACAGAGTTGAAAACAACCCAAGTTCCCATCAACAAACGGACAGAGAAGCTCTGGTATATTCACACAATGGATATTGAAAAACCAGGAACTCATGAAATATTATGCAAAATGGGTGGCCCTGGAGGACCTTATGGTGAGTGAAATATCTCAGTCACAGAAAGACAAATACTGCATAATGCCACTGTTATCTAAGAGGACTGACATAGGAGTTGAGGGGAGACTGAGAAGGAGGGGATAAGTAATGTATACTGCATTGAAACATGTGAGGAAGAGAACTGTTTAAAAGGGATATATGATTAGGCATTATTGTCATGACAGGAGTGCAGAACGAAGGCTGCATAGTGGAGTGGACTTGGGGGAAGAGATTGTATAACAGTGAAAGAATTTTTCTTCTACTTTTTAAAGTGAAGAGAGCACTGTGGGGGAGGGGTGGGCAGGGAGAAAAGTGCAACAATGAATGAAAGGAAATCCAAAGTCTCTGTAAACTTTCACTAACATTAATTTGTAAAAAAGGTTGAAAAAAAATGAACTACAGAGCGAAAACATGATACCTGCCGCACACAAACAAGAAGATAAAGAATGTCTCTTTATGTATATAAAAAGGACAAATAGCTAAATAGAAAAACTCTCAAAAGACCTAACCAGACACTTCACACATGAGGAAATCCAGATGGCATCAACCTCAGTGGGAATCAGAGAAATGCAAATTAAAAACCACAAAGAGATATCACTATCAACCCACTAAATTGATACAAAACTCATATCCTGCTCTTATCAAATGTTAGCAGAAATATGAAGCCACAGAAATGCTCATTTATTGTTCAGGAGTCCAGCCATTTTTGGAAAACAGTCTGCTTTATCTACCAAGGACCAAGAGGCATCTTCTCCATGTCCTGGCAGCTGTATTCCTAGGTTGGGCAGGGGTGGAGGTGGGCAAAGAAAAAAATACTTGTGCTGCCATGTGCTAAGATATACAGGACAAAAATATTCTAACATCATTATATGTTGTTGTTGTTGTTGATTGCCATCAAGTCAAGCATGACTCATAGCAACCCTATGAACAAAAGGCCTGAAGCCTTTCCATATCTATCATCATTTATCAAAGTTCATAGAGTTTCCAGAGGCATGTTGTTTAGGAAGTGATGCCACTCCTGCTTCCATCATTCCCAACCCCAAATATCCATGCATTTTAGAATGGAAAACAAGCTGTGATGGAAATAGAAACATTCCTTTCTGGAGAGTCAATCTACTCATAACTGAACTTCCTTTGGATTTCTGAAGCTGTATGTCTCATGACAAGGAGATTGCTCATCTTTTTCCCAAGGAGCGGTTGGTGGATTTGAACCAGCAGAGAGGGAAGACCTTTGGATTGGCAGCATTTGTCCCCATGGACTGCACCACCAGGGCTCCCTCTAAGAATAGTGAACTGTAATGTGAACCAACTAAAGATGAAGGTACAAATGAGTCTTAAAGGCACAACATTGAGTATAAGAAGCAAGACGCAGAAGCGGGGACTACAGTGTGATTCTATTTGTACGAAGTTCAGAAACGCATTAAACTGTGTTGTTAGTTAGAAAACCTAGAAAGAAGAACACGGAAGTGAAACCAGCAAAGGCTGCATGTGATTAGTCCCAGGGCTCATGGGGCTTCCTGGGAGCAGAGTGTTCTATTTCTAGACTCGGAGGCAGCTTAGCAACTACAGGGCAGGGTCGTGTGGGTGCTCACGCCACAGTCTGCTAAACTTTGCATTTATGTGCTTTTGTGTCTATTTTACCAAATTTAAAAAACAACTGTATTGCTTTCAAAGGACATTTAAATATCTTTAGATCAGACTTGGCTAACACCAGGCCAGAGCGCTCTTGTGGCCTAGTGGGAAACAGCTTCTCTGCCAACGCAAGAGCAGGAGGTTCAAGTCCACCAACTGCTCTGTGGGAAGAAGATGGGCAATCTCCTCCCGTGCAATTTATAATCTCTGAAAATCCACTGGAGGGTCAGCTCTAAGTTGGTTCTGGCTCGACGACACACAATAGCAGTGTTCTCCTACGTGCATTTTTAACAATCTCTCTGTAGACAATGATCCATCTTTGTTTAATGTTTCAAGTTACAGTTTTACCTTTTCTTCCTTTCTTTTCCCCCCCACAGTTTTACTTTTGGAAAGCTCCTTCTATATATGAATTCCAAAGGACAGGTTCACCTCATTAACAAGCACTTATTTAATGAGTGCTGCTCCCCAGACAATGTCTCGCTTAAATGAACTAAGGGATGAATTTCGTTATTAAAACTTTCCATGTTCTCCAAATGGATGTTATAATCACCTATTTTATAAAGTAGCTTCACATGCTCTCCTCATTTTCTCTTCCTTTCTCAGGTTGTAGGTCTGAGCTCAGGCTGAAGCCTCCGTTGTTAGTTGGGGGGAACAGTACTCGGTGGTAAAAAAGATTATTTGATGAGTCCTGTTTGCCAGTGTCCTGTATGAACATCTAACTGGCTTGAAACCACACAGATGTTTATCCACACATCCAAGACTGCAGCATCCTTTCTCCAACAGGGTAAGAAGGGAAGCCACAGACTGGGAAAAAATATTTGGTAATGACATGCCTGATAAGGGACTTATATCTAGAATTTATAAAATATTCGAGAACCGCAACAAGGTAAAGGAAAACAACACAATTGAAAAATGGGCACAGAGTATGAACAGACACTTCACCAAAGAAGACATTCAGATGTGTAACAAACACATGAAGAAATGTTAAAAATCCCTAGCTCTAAGAGAGA